GTGAGTCGTACTGCAGCTACAACTTCACAAATCAGAGGGGTAAGGTTTTGGCCGAGTTTAGAGAAAATGACTGAATAACACATTTTTGTGGAAAATGTGTTTCATAAAATTCACACCGGTTGATACATTTTGTTAAAACGACAACAGTGTGATTGTTGTTTCAAATGAGCTCCACTGCAGCACTTGTACAATGCTGGCCACATGGTGCATGATGTCTTCATATATATTGCATTCAGTGTATTGGCTACACTCCCTATAATGTCTCCATCATTTCAGAGTCCTACTGGTTTGAATTTGACCATTTGGGCTATTGAAGCAAAATGAATACACGTGTGTAATGTGAACATGTGCACGCCTGCGTGTGTCAGCGCATGAATCTGTGTGTGCATTAATATGTACAATTTCATTTTAGCATAAAGTGTGTGTGTGTGTGTGGGGAATGCAGGTGGAGAGAGGGAGGAGGGGCGAAGGGGTCGCATGGAGAAGAGAAACGAGAGGTGTGTATTTGGTGGTATGTGAAACTGGGGGGGGGGGGGGGGCACAGAATGGCTGGCTCGGTAGCTCAGGCAGTTGAGGTACCTGCAGTCAACAATGCGCAGACATGCAACGCCAACAAACACACACCCACACACGTACACACACACCACAACACAGACACCTTAAAGGTGAGGGGGTGCTACAATCAGTACAAATCACTTTAAAAATGATACTGTCAAACTAACTATCAACAGGAGCATAAGGAGACCCAAAGTCCCTATCACAAGATACAAAGCATAGTGAACCATTATTTCTTGAGCATCCATGATCAAGAAATATAGAAACTATTGTAGTAAATTAGCAAGGAAATTTAAAAAATAACTAAGTAATTTGCAGAGTTTTTGTTTAAAAAAGGCTGCTTACCCATAATGTGCATCTGGTGGAATCGAATAACTCCATATTACAGTGTAATATCTGAATAGAGATTAACACAAATTTTCTGAATTATAATGAATATTTTTGACTTCTGAGGTATACAATGAAATACCTAATGTGACTTACTTAAAGTCTTTTCAAATACCAGCAGTATTTTCTTTCGGTAATAAAAAAAGTGACCTAGGATAAAGAAAGTACTTGGAATACTTGTTCCACCACTGGCTAGTCCTTGTATCGTAGTGAAGTTTTAGCAGTAAAAATATTATAATAATACTATCAGTATTCTACATACGCCTAAGACCAACACCAAACACCCACACAAACAACACCAAAGAAAACTGTAATGACTAAGTTTAGTTCTTTATATAACTGCAGTGTGAGCGTTCTGATAACTCCGTTAAGAAATGTAATACATAACACAACAATGTTGTCGACATGAAACATAATGAAGGCTTACTGTTTAAATTGCTTTTGTATTCATATTAAACTTTACACTAAACTATCTTTTACTTTTCTTGCCATATTCGATTGCTTGGTTTTAATAAAACCAATATACATGACACTTCACCATTTGGTGCTTAAAATTACGATCCCAATAGATGCCTTGCAGCTGCTTCACTTGAAGCTCAGTAACTTTCACTTTTATTTTTTTTCCACTTTTGTTTTTTTTTTTTTATTTTTTTTAAACTCAGCTATGTGATGTCTTTACTGGCTGGCCTGCCTTTGTCTTTCATCTGTCACCTCAGTCCCGGCTAATCAATATATAAATGTATCTTGTTTTTGTTTTTCCTGTGCCCTCGGAGCGCTGTCACCTACCAGCCAGCATTGCCTCCTGGTCACGGGCTCGTTCAGCACACTACAACACAATAAAACTTTCTTTTTCTCTTTTTAACCCTCCTGTCCTTTTTTAATTCCCTCTCCCTGTCATATCAGCTCTCCCTATGCTCTTTCCTCTTTCCCTGCTGCATTCCTCCATTCTTCCGTTCGTGTTCGTCCCTTACTCGCTCGTATACCCCTCCCCGCGCTTCCCCACCCTCCTGCCCGCTCCGCTCCTCCTTACTTGACTGAACTTCTGACAGGTGTGAAATTGAATGATTAATGACCAACCACTAGATTCCCACACACACACACACCACACACACACACACACCACACACAC